AAACATAATAATAAGAAATGTTCATTGTTGTAAACGAAATAATAATTTGATCTAAGTAAGAGTTTTTTTTTCTTCCTCCCGATCTGTAAAAAAAAAAATCCTTACGTGATAGAAACAAGTGAATATTATTTGCGAAATCTGCGTAGTTGGATTATGGAAAATCCGTTATTAAAACAAAAACTACTTTTATGAAGTTTAAATTCGCAGGCCTGTGTTAACTAATAATAAGCGATATTCGTTTTCATTCATTTATTATCCAATGATCATTGATATTTATTCATCTATTACACAATAATATTCGTTTTCGTTTATTCACCTGTTATCTTTTTCATTTATTATCCAATAATAATCGGCATAAGATGTCGAGCCTTACTGTATATAACAACAATTTTCTTTCATAAATGATAACCATAAATCAAAATAAATTCCTTACAAATTACTTTTGAAGCGCATTAACGTGGCTGTAATAAGGATAGTCATATTAATATTCGAGACAAGCGAAATTTAATTAGTACGTACAATTTAATTTAATATTTTAAATTATCCATATGAATGAACAAGAAATATCATAAATTTTACAGATGTGAATGGACTTCGCAGTGTTATATTTTTAAATCTGTTGTGTTGTTATTAGTGTAAAATGTAACTTTACGTTGAGGTTAATTAGTGCATCTGTGTTGAATATGTTGATAAAAAAAAAACCGAAAACAATGAAACTGATTTCTTTGTTTTCCACAGTCGTTAAACTAATTCAACTGATACACTTCTAATGATTTGAAAGGTAATTGTGGGATTAAGAGAGAAATAACGGCAAGTTACACAAAATTAAGGAGTGTAAAACTGGGGTCAACAAGATAACCATCGACACTCTCTCTTGCTGCTCCCCGATCCCCACAGTGGGTTTTGAATCATAGGTTTGACCAGAAATTATATCGTCCAAAAGCTCAAAATCACTAATTAGTGCTACAACATATATATCAAGATTACTTGTTAATACTAAAGAGTTCAAGACTGTGATTGCCTCCTGTACTAATACTATAGGAAGAGCCAATGATTGAAGGGCAACTATAAACCTGTAAAAGCGCCACCAACCAGCCAAGAAAACAGAATAAAAACAAACAATATCGTTTGCACATATACAAGAAATGTACACACACATCTGTATATCTTATATTAAGAAGTGAGTCTTATTTAACATCGTATTTAAAACATACCACTCATTCCTCACAGTGGGTATAAATAAGCAAAATTGTTGGGCAGTGACAACTTCTAGCAGACGTCTTTTTATTGGCTCCTGTAAAGGATATTGGAATGATTTATTATGTAGGGGTTGGCAGAGGCGAGACTTTAAGGCGCGAAAACGATGAGTAGACTACTTTTCGTTCACTGTTATTTATGTATTTTCTGAATTTTATTAGTCATTCATTCTTGGAGGCATTTCATCGACTTTTTGGGGAATGTGTAATCGTTTCAAACCATTTTTTGAATATATTTAATCTTATTGGAAGGTATATATATACTAATATGTAAACACACGTGTATATAAATATTCGTTATTTGTGAGTACAGCTTAAAAAATTTGATTGTCCAATTAAAAGTAGAATAAATTCACTTAAATAAACACACACTTTTTTGCGAAAAATATTTTAGTTTGAGAGTTGTTCAAAGAAAAGTTAAATTTATGTTTTAACTTTCGAATCCTGATATGACATACTTAACACAGAGAAAAGGGAAATGATTTACTGTGTATTTGTACGAAAAACGTTCGATCCAGATTCACATCGATTTCTTCGAAAAGCGCTATTTTAATTGAACAAGTATGATATTAATGTACGTGCGCTTGCCCAGATCAGGCTATGACTGTTATGAATCTGTAAAATCAAAATTAACTTGAATTTCGAAAGTGCAATCTGACAGAAGTTAAGAGAAAAGTTCTAATATATAAATATACGCTTAACTACTTTGTGAATCGTTAGGTGTGCACAAATGCTCTTAAAATTTATGTTTTAAAAACGGTTTTGTTTTTCGGTGGGGTGTGAAACCTTTGTTGGTGATGGTGGTGTTCTGAGAACAATTTTCATGAGTCAAGAACTGGAGACGTTACGAGTGTATAGGATTTTTTTATAAGAATAATTCTGATGTGTAAAATACAGAGATATTACACTTGTATAAAATTATGCTATGAGAGTAATTCTGATGTGTAAAATACCGGATACATTATTACGGTTCTATAGGATTTTTTTATAAGAATAATTCTGATGTGTAAAATACAGAGATATTACACTTATATAAAATTATGCTATGAGAGTAATTCTGATGTGTAAGATACCGGATACATTATTACGGTTCTATAGGATTATGCTTTTTTATTACGTTTATTTAACTCAGAAGATTGATACTGAAGAGCCTGAAAAGAATCAGTTGTAGTAGAGCTTGTCTTAACACATAAGGAGTTTCGTACCATAAACTCATCTTTTTTTTTTTTACAGCGCAGAAATGTAGAGCACTTATGAAAATACTTTTCTCTCTCTCTCTCAAAAGAAAAAAAAAAACAAACGAAAAAAAAAAACACAGATGCACGCAATATTTTAGTTCCAAAGCAATAATTTTTTCATATAAAATTGATAAACCTATCAGATATTTCTACAAACACTTGATGAATGTTAAAAGTGTTATTCTGTTCGTGTTTGTTTGTTTATTGAATCTTGCGCAAAACTACACGAGGGCTATCTGCGTTAGCCATCTCTAAGTTAGCAGTGAAGGACTAGAGGGAAAGGCAGCTAGTCATCACCACCCACCACCAACTCTTGGGCTACTCTTTTACCAACGAATAGTGGGATTGACCGTCACATTATAACGTCCCCACTGCTGAAAAAGCGAGCATGTTTGGTGGAAGGGGGATTCGAACCGGCGACTCGCAGATTGCGAGTCGAGCTCCCTAACCACCTGGCCATGCTGGGCCTATTCTGTTCTTATGGAAGGCATTAATTACTATGCACGCACATTATATAAAATGATTAACAATAAAAATGGATCCCATATAACTCTTGCGTTTTACAGTAAATTTCATTATCTGTTACTACTGGGAGTAGTTCAAATTATGTATTGTGTATTATTTCTTCCCTATATACGTAATAATTCGAACACTTGCTTTCTCTTTATAATGGACTTGTCTGATCACTTAACAAATCCTTAATCCTTTTGACTAATCTTACGAATTAACAATTCTTTAATCCTTTTGGACTAATCTTACGAATTAACAATTCTTTAATCCTTTTGGACTAATCTTACGAATTAACAATTCTTTAATCCTTTTGGACTAATCTTATGAGTTAACAAATCTTTAATCCTTTTGGACGAGTCTCATCACTTAACAAATCTTAAATTATTTTGATTCTCAAAGAAGTATATTTAATTTCCGATTAATCCTGCTTGAAAGTTCATTATCATCTCCCTAAGTAAAGAAGTCGACTGGAATGGGTCAAACTTTAAAAATTAATCTTTGTGAAAGAAAATTTAAAATATAACTTCAAGTTAAGGCGCCAGGAGGATTCGATAAATACTGTTTAGAAGTATACTGATAATCTTTATATATAAAGAAGTCGACTGGAAAGGGTCAAAGGTATAAAAATTAAATCAATGTGAAAGACGCCTTATAGATGGCTGTTTAAAGTGGGCGAACGGGCTTGGTAGTTTTTTTTAAGGATTAGGACGTTGCGTTATATTGTTTCTATGAATTTTATTTTCAACGCTATTATTGTCCTAGCAGGATTTTAGTGATCATTACAATTATAATGAACATATAGAATTCCTGTTACGAACATGGTGAAAATTGGATAGCAAATTGATTAAAATTTTATTTTTCAATAAAAATAACGAGGAGTACAGGATTTCTTTATATTTTGAAAGCATTTCGCTATTATTAGGGAAAAAATATTGCTGAAAATGAGAACAATACGAGATGACAGAATTCCCAGAAGCTAAGTCATATAGATATATACATGTCCTTAAAAATGTTTGCAGGCAATAATTACACATTGTTTTGTTTTTTCATCTGTAATATTCTTATATTTTCACCTATATTTTAATACATATTGTTGTTTCTTGTTTCAGAGATATGAAATACTGACTCAGAACTGTGGAAAACTGGCGGTATACGTACAGGTAAACAGAGAATTTTTATGCTTGAGATATATATATTTATAGATTATAGTATAGATAATAATTTAACATTAGCTTTGAACCATTTCAACCATCAATATATTCCCTGTTATCACAATTTGTTGGATTAATTCCCTTGTCACATTTTGTTGTGATTAAGGTATTTGTTGCCACATTTGTTGTAATTAAGGTATCTGTTGCTACATTTTGTTGTAATTAAGGTACCTGTTGCTACATTTTATTGTAATTAAGTTACCTATTGTCACGTTTTGTTGTGATTAAGTTACCTGTTGTCACATTTTGTTGTGATTAAGGTACCTGTTGTTACATTTTGTTGTGATTAAGTTACCTGTTGTCACATTTTGTTGTGATTAAGGTACCTGTTGTTACATTTTGTTGTGATTAAGTTACTCGTTGTCCCATTTTGTTGCGATTAAGTCTCTTGTTGTGATTAAGTTACCTGTTTTTACATTTTGTTGTGATTAGGAAAATTCTATAATGACGTGAAAAGAGATTAAGTTTCAAGTTGTGTAATATTTGTGCAGCTGCGTTTTAGACGAAACAGAATATTTCTTTGTGTAATTTATTTGAATGTTGTATTGTTTACAACAGAGGCAATTTGTGTGTTACATTCTAGAATTTCAATGAAATGGGAAAACCAAAGCGTAATGAGGAAACTTATTAAAATTGTCATTAATATTTTTCAACCTGTAATGTGCCTTCGATATAAGCATTAACCTACCAAAATTATAAGTCTCCAGAAAATTCGCCCAGTATAGCGCAAACTCCCCCTCCTCTACGTAGTCTACACGTGACTGATAATCGAAACATCCAACTCAACAGAATCTTGTACAAAATTTATTGATTTTCTAACATTCAAACATTTCACTAAATCGGTTTCATTTTCATTAAATGATTTTATATAAATGTTCACAAAAAATATTCGACATTGGGTGAAATATTGTGCGCATAAAAAAATAAAAATAATATTGACACAGTAGAAGTATTGAAATGAAATTTTCTATTTCATGGCTGTTGCGGAAAGCCTTACGAAATACAACCGTCTGTAAACCAATTACAAACTTCTTAGACGTCATATCACGTCACAAACATTTTTTTAAAGATTTTATGTAAAAATATTTTATTGTTTGTTTTGAATTTCGCGCAAAGCTACACGAGAGCTATCTGCGCTAGCCGTCCCTAATTTAGCAGTGTAAGACTAGAGGGAAAGCAGCTAGTCATCACCACCCACCGCCAACTCTTGGGCCACTCTTTTACCAACGAATAGTGGGTTTGACC